TGTGGCCGTCCGCCACACCCTCACCCACTTGTCCCCGGTGTCAAGACAGTCAAAAATACCGAAGGTGGGACCGGACACAGGTGGCTGATGCGGCCGAAGCCGCCCCTATGCATGCAAAAACCACGCCCCCTTCTCAGTTCGGCATTTGTTATCGGCACGCAACCCGAATAACGTCTGACGTACACTAATCTGACTTCCGTGTTTGTCCAGCGCAGCTGCCAGGTGGCCTGTTTGCGTCTATTGAAAGTGGCTTAAAACCACAGTTCCCGCGGGCAAACAGAGGTCGTCTGAGGTACGAAGGGGTTTCTGCCGTATTGTGTGTTCGGGCCTTGGTACTGGAGGCACAAGAGGAGGGTCATAGATGGCCAATGCAGTTTGCAAGTCGACGGCTAGAACAAGAATTCAAACTAAAACATTGTGAGGACCGCCCGCATGGTCCCAAAATAAACAGAACGTGGGTATTCACACTTGTGATGGGGATGGACCGTTGAACGCCACTCCCACAGGAACCTAAATACCCCTCGATCACGACTGATAGACGTTAGTTTCGCGCCTCAGAGGAAGGTCGTTTGCACAATTATCAGCCAGGCTGGCGTTGACACTACAATCTTGCCGAAGGGAGATGACCGAAAAGTCAGAAACCATCCCTTCAATCCCGTTGTCCTGGATGGGCTACTTATCAAACCTTGTTATAAAAGAAAATCCCCGCAGATCATCCATTATGCTTGAGGAAAACCGCTATTATCTGGGCAGCGGAGACATCGCATACGCCGAATAGATTACAAAAAAGCTCACTGAGCACCGACCGCCCTCCCTCTTCTCCTCCGTATTACTTTCAAATAGAAAACCTTAAGTCAACGCGTCCGGAGACAAAACGTAACGAATAGGCCGGCTTAGCACACGCCCCACGGCGAGTGCTGGCTCTTTTCTCTCACTCGAAGGGTCCTAAGATACTTAGATATACCTATCTACTTGAAGAGTTAAAATAGCCACGTTAAGAAGGAATCATCACTGACGCAACTTCGACCTTAATGACCGAATTATCCCGCAAACCGAGTACTGTTTGGGTCACAACGTTTAAGCTGTTATAACTCAGATAAGCACGACAGCAGCCCGCGGAAACGGAAGATACCAGTCTCTTTATAGGCTTAGG